ACCCAACAAATGGTTACAAAGCAATGCACAATTCACACAGCCTACCTCCAGGTTAAACAAGCATTTTGTTCAAAAGATAGGGATCATTAGTTCTTGCAACCGCCAATAAAAACTTTGCCACTGCTAATGTTCTAGAGTTTGTCCGGTCTTCCAATAGGAACCTGACATAGTGAGCCTCTGATTTTCCCGGGAAAATCAGTTCAGCCCTGGCTTGCTCATATTTTGCACAGTGCAGCAAAATATGTTTTATGGAATCGGTGTCTTGAGCACACGAGCAAAGTCTGTCCTGGTAGGGAACTACTCTCAACCTGCCATCCAACACTGCAGAAGGAAAGATGTTTAGTCTGGCTTTGGTGAAAAGCCTTCGATAATTTGGTACTGTCAGGATTTTAATGTAAGATGTTAACTTAAAGACATGCCCATATATAATATAACCCTAATGTATTAATTAATTAAAAATGTCAACAACAAAGCTTAGACTGAAATGCCTGGTACATTTACCTGGGAGTAAGACTGGTTGAATACAGTGAGACTTTGTTCTGAGTTGAGAAGCACTGGTTGGTGCTGTTGGTCCTGCAGCTATACCTATGTTAATATATAAGGTATAGGACCCATGGATGGTTAAGTCCAGTCAAAGGCGACTGTGGGGTTGTGGCGCTCATCTCGCTTTAGGCCAAGGGAGCCGGTGTTTGTCCAAGACAGCTTTCCAGGTCATGTGGCCAGCATGACTAAACTGCTTCTGGTGCAATGGAACACCGTGACGGAAACCAGAGTGCACGGAAACGCTGTTCACCTTCCCACCGCAGTGGTACCTATTTATCTACTTGCACTGGCGTGCTTTTGAACTGCTAGGTTGGCAGGAGCTGGGAAAGAGCAACAGGAGCTCACACCATCGCAGAGATTCAAACCGCCGAGCTTCCAATAAGCAAGCTCAAGAGGCTCAGTGGTTTAGACCACAGCGCCATCCACTCCCCTTATAACCAACCGCCTCATAAACCTATATTTAATGTGGACCATTTCCATGCAATTGTCTTTTTCATTGGATGTAAGATCAGCTGTTAGGGAGTGTGCTTTTTTCCTCACTAAATGTGGTTTTCCTTTATCTAGCTGGTCCCCAGCTGGCTCCAAGATGGCTCAGGAGGTGGCCAACAGCTCCTGAAATATTGTTTGCTTGTGGCTTTTGCATACAGTCATTTACCAGAAGAACTTCCATTACGTTTTGCAAAGGTTGGAACTGACATTCAGATGCTCACCTCGAGCTCAGGAATCACTATTAGCCCCAGTAGCTAAATGGAAACTCGCTTCAATAGCTCTGCAGGAGGGACAAAGAAGAGCCAGCAATCTGATCAAGAAGGCTGGAGCAACTTCCCTGTGAGGAAAAGCTATTATATTGGGGAGTTTTGTAGTTTAGACAAAAAAAAAGGCAGGTAAGATGAAGCGGGCACGCATGGCTGAGGGGTAGAGAAAATGGATAGAGAGAAGTCTTCACACTAGAAGCCAGGGCCCTCCAATGCAGCTTGAATGTTGGGATATTGAGGGCAGACAAAAAGAACTACTTGTTTACTCAGCAGGTAGTTCAGTTACAGAATTTGCAACCACAAGATGTGGGTACTGCCTGCCAACTTGGATGGATTTCAAAAGGCATTGGACAAATTTATAAAGCTATCAAGGGCTACTAGGCATAATAGCCATATTCTACCTTGGTGTCAGAGGCAGTGCTCCTCTGAGGTCACATGAGCAGGAGAGGGCCATTGTGCTCAAGCTTTGCTTGTGGGATTCCCCGTGGCACCTGACTGATGACTGTGGGACCAGATGTGTGGTGGTCTGGGGTCACAGGGAGTCGAAGACCCATTACTATTTCTGTAGCAGTGTCCCAGCAGGGTCTCCATCTCCAGTCTTTTAGAACTGCCCAATCAGTATGAAAGGAAACTTTTTAGACAGCGAGAAGTCTTCTCATCCTTTGGTAATGGAAGCCAATCAAAATGAAAGGAGGTCTCAGTCAGCCACTGAGGATGGGCTCCTAGGGTCATTCTGGAGAAGGCACATGGGAAGAACACAGAGGAGGAGTTGTTCTGTATCATCCAAAGCTAAGCATTTAGGACAGGGGTCAGCAAACTTTTTCATCAGGGGGCCGGTCCACTGTCCCTCAGCCCTTGTGAGGGGGCCGGACTATATTTTGGAAAAAAAATATGAACAAATTCCTATGCCCCACAAATAACCCAGAGATGCATTTTAAATAAAAGCACACATTCTACACATGTAAAAGCACAGATTCCCGGGCCGTCCGTGGACTGGATTTAGATTTAGATAGTCCGTGGACTTGGATTTAGAAGGTGATTGGGCCAGATCCGACCCCCACACCTTAGTTTTCCTACCCATGATTTAGGAACAATGAAAACAGAAGATGATTCCATTTCAAGGTTGTGGCGTAGAAGTTCCATTATGTACAATGGAATTTCAAGGGAAACACAGTGTAGGTCACTGCAAAAGAAGATATTGGAGCACTCCAAATCATTTGCCCATGTACATAAACAGAAAACAGTAGAAACAGCTGAAAGGCAACACATGGATCATAAGATTATTGCATGAACTTAGAAGGGGGTATGGCTGTGACTATAACATAGGGACCCTGCACTTCTGAATTTACTATTACACTACTGGTGGGAATAGAATACTAGGCTAGATAGACTTTTGGTTTGACGAAGCAGGGCTCTTTCTGTGTTCTTAGTGTGTTTTTGAAGGTATCCTTTCAGAGAGTCACCAGAGCTCAATTTCAGAGTACGTGATCCGCACGCAGAAGGGCCCAGGCAGGACCTGCCTACCCATGACGTAGGCTGAAGCAGCCACCTTGGGCAGTCTAATTCTGTGGGACAGCACCCCATCAGGCACACCATCTGCCCCTGCAGCTGCTGGGGTTGCATGGTAGTGACTTCCGGCGAGATCTCAGAAGATCCCGTGCGGCTCTGGTAAGGGAGGCTTTTGGTGGGTGAGGGGAGGCGGCGCCTTCCCATTTTGCCACAGGCAGTGGAAAGGGACAGGCTGACCCTGGGTCCAGGTTTAGTCCTGGGCATTCCCAGTTTAACAGGTCCAGTAAGCAGGTGATAGGAGAGGCTCCCTTCCTGAGACCCAGAGTGATTACTAGCCAGAGTAAATACTGGGTTTAATGGCCAAATGGTCTGACCCAGGCTTCCTCGGCCCTCCAGATCTTTTTTGGCCTACAACTCCCATGATCCCTGGCTAGCAGGACCAGTGGTCAGGGATGATAGAAATTGTAGTCTCAAAACCTCTGGAGGGCCGAGGTTGAGGAAGCCTGGTCTGACCCAACAGAAGGCATCTTCATAAGACAATGCAAAAAATAAACTTATTCCCCCACCAGTTTCCCACCAAATACCAGCAGCTGGAGATGAATAGTGGGGTGAGTGTTTTGCTTCTGAGTGTCTCAGAAGCATTTGATTGGCCACTGATGGAATTAGGAAATGGAACACTGGACTCGGATAAATCCATTCCCTGACCAGGCGCTTCTCAGTTTGAAAAAGGATTGTCTGGTTTTCTTTGGTTTAATTCATAAAATAATGCAGTTCTAGATAATTTGTGATTATTATTCTTTTTCTTATCTATGCTACCTGAATAGACAATCTCCAAACCCTGCTTGACTAATTCACATCATGAAAGGTTTGCATATCTGGGTTCTGTAGGTTGTACTCTTACTACTTGCCATTACAAAAGATTTTTTAATAATCTTTAATAGCAGCAGCCAGCCATGAATGGATGGTCTTGTCAAACAAATTACTTGACTCTCAGCTCTCGGTGGCAGCTCCCGCTTGGATTTTTCCCTCTCTTCTTGGGTCTTTGTTATGAAGCTGAAGAAATTAACGGCCTATATATGCTTTTGTGCTTTTATTTTTTTAAGTGCATATGATTTAGATATGCCTAGGACAATCAACATAACCTACAGAACCACAGAAAGCTGCCTTACATTGAGTAAAATCATTGGTCCATCTATCTCAGTATTGTCTGCACTGACCTTCCACAGCTCTCCGGGGTTTCAGTCTATCCTAGGCCTACCTGGAGATGCTAAGATGTGGAATTAAGGTTGCTGGATTGAGACCTCTGCCATGCCATGGCACATAACAATATGGACCAACTCTGACCTGATCCTTGCTCTGAATAATACTTAGCCAAAGGATTAAACCCCCACCCAAATGTGCTTGATACCCTTCAGAAAACTCAGATATGTTGAGTTGTAATCAACACCGGTTGAAATCAATGGATTTTAAGTTAGTCATGGCAATTAATTTCAATGAGTCTACTATGAATGAACATTGAATACAACCCATTGGACTTCCATATTATGGGTTGTATCCAATCCTAGTCCTATTCAGAGTACACTCATTGTGGAAAACTCACATGACTAAACTTGGTTCATTTATTTCAAGGGTTCCAGTCTGTGTAGATCTTTTAATTCAGCCCATGATGTATACTGGTTTTGTGTCTGATGTTTCAAGGACTAGCATAAACAACAGGCATATTCATTTCATTTCCTAGAAGAACATTATCGCTAACAAAACTATTCTATGGTTGATTATCAGTTTCTGATATCCACCAGACATTTTCATTCTGGCAGTATCTACTGTATGAAAGCATTTTCCACTCCCAGAAATCTCTACTCTGATGCATGTAGCCTGCTTTTCTAGACCAAGCTTCCTTGGGTAAGAAAAAGGGAATCATCTCAGTCTCTTTCTTCCCCAGAGCAGTGGGGTGAAGATGTGAAGGTCTGCTTTCAAGTACTGCTCTCCTTTATTCCCTTTCTGTTTGGCAGGTGGTGGTTCCTGAAGGGAGAGGAGGCAGAAGATGAAAAAAGAAAAAGGCCAACTTTCAGGTACCAACAGCTGATACACTTCTGGAAAACGAAGTGTTGGAAACAAGGACTGTTGCAAAGTGTACTTGAAAGGACTCAATTGGGTGGTCAAGAGAGATGGAGAGAAGCAAAGAGAATGGGGGGAGGCCATAGCTCAGTGGTAGAGCATCTGCTTTGCATGTAAAAGGTTCTAGGTTCAACCCCCCTACATCTCCATGTAGGTCTGGGAATGGACACTCCCCCGCCTGAACTTCATACTGTAAGAAATGAAAATGCTGCTTTTTTCATAAAAGGCCAAAAGGTGACAACAGCTAAGTAACCGTAGACTCCCTTAGATGCTTATCCTTAGCATGGCTTGTGATTAAAGGTAAAGGGACCCCTCACCATTAGGTCCAGTCGTGACCGACTCTGGGGTTGCTGCGCTCATCTCGCTTTATTGGCTGAGGGAGCCGGCGTACAGCTTCCGGGTCATGTGGCCAGCATGACTAAGCCGCTTCTGGTGAACCAGAGCAGCACATGGAAACACCGTTTACCTTCCAGCCGGAGCAGTACCTACCGGTATTTATCTGCTTGCACTTTGACGTGCTTTCGAACTGCTAGGTTGGCAGGAGCAGGGACTGAGCAACGGGAGCTCACCCCGTCACGGGGATTCGAACCGCCGACCTTCTGATCGGCAAGTCCTAGGCTCTGTGGATTAACCCACAGCACCACCCACATCCCAGGGCATCTTGCAGTTGAAATGTGATTTATCTATACGCCTCAGCAGATATTGAACTTGTGTATGCCTAGGGTGGTTGGGATGTAGCTTTATCACTTGAGTCAACATGTCAAAGCCTAAGAGCATGGACCAAATAAGGAAGAAAATAAGAGTAGGTGGTTGGTACATTCAGAGCAATGGAAGATGTCAACAAAGGAGGGGATCTTAGTATTTTAATTAGACGGTCATGATAGGTTGTGAACCCTGCACATACCCAGCCAACAGGGAAACGGGGGAGGAAACCTGCGCTCGGGTATAGGGGATATAAGCTTCTGTTTTGCTAAATTTGGGTGTGCCTGCTTTTAGACACCCGCTTCTTGCAAGAACATATGTAATCAATAAACTCTTTGCTGCTTCAACAGTTTTGTTCAGATTTGTTTTTAGGGTCCCAGGACCCAGAGTCTTGGGACCTGTGTTTTATATCTAACAATACCAGTGGCTGAGAATTGTGAGAGGGCAGAGTGAGGTGCTTGCAGGCTTCCCGCGGGCACCTGGTCGGCCACTGTGCGAACGGGATGCTGGACTAGATGGGCCACTGGATTGATCCAATAGGCTCATCTTCTGTTCTTAACTCTTCGAGAGCTGCTGCTAGCCATTGTGGACAATTCTGAGCAAGATGGACTCAAGTGCCTTGACTTGGCATAAGTTTTCTATGTGTCTGCTTAAATCGACAGTTTACAGTGGTACCTGGGTTACAGATGCTTCAGGTTACAGACTCCGCTAATCCAGAAATAGTACCTTGGGTTAAGAACTTTGCTTCAGGATGAGAACAGAAATCGTGTGGCGGCAGCAGGAGGCCCCATTAGCTAAAGTGGTACCTCAGGTTAAGAACAGTTTCAGGTTAAGAACAGACCTCCAGAACGAATTAAGTTCTTAACCCAAGGTACCACTGTATTCTGAATCCCAAGGACCGGAATCTGACTTTACTTTTCAAGGAAGGACTCAGCAGTATAGAATCATAGAATCATAGAATCATAGAATCATAGAATCATAGAAGAGTTGGAAGAGACCACAAGGGCCATCGAGTCCAACCCCCTGCCAAGCAGGAAACACCATCAGAGCACTCGTGACATACGGTTGTCAAGTCTCTGCTTAAAGACCTCCAAAGAAGGAGACTCCACCACACTCCTTGGCAGCAAATTCCACTGTCGAACAGCTCTTACTGTCAGGAAGTTCTTCCTAATGTTTAGGTGGAATCTTCTTTCTTGTAGTTTGGATCCATTGCTCCATGTCCGCTTCTCTGGAGCAGCAGAAAACAACTTTCCCCCCTCCTCTAGAGAAGGAGAAAAGTGGCTTTGCCTGCAGAAGGTCTCCCAAGTTCAATCCTCGCCATCTCCAGGTAGGCTTGAGAAAAGACTTGTGCTGGAAACTCTGGAGAGCTATTGCCAATCAGTGTCAACTATACTGAGCTAGATAGGCCAATGGCCTAGCTGGCCAGAGTGGCTGGGGTATAAACAATAGATGATGATGATTATCTCAGTATAAGGCAACTTCCTGGGTTCCTAAAAACCCTTTCCAGACATTAGGCCAATAAAATGGCCTGGTTAATTAGTGTTGTGACAACACCAGGCTTTAAGCTTTTTCCATTAATGCCAGTCTCATTTTGCTACAAAACTGATGTTGAAATGGGTGGAAGATGCACCTCTGAGTCGTTAATCTTACTTTCTTTTGCAGACTGGAGACAAGTTCATTCTCACTGGCAAAAAAAAAAAAAAAAAAAAAAATCCTCTGGGGAAAAATTCAGTCACCAGTCTCTCTTAAGAGCTGGCTGTCTCGCTAGAAGGTTGGAGGTTGAGTTCGTTGCCTTTTAAAAACAAAATGAATCATGGCGGAGTTGTGGAGCAGAGATTGAAGCCCGTTGCCTTTGGAGCACAGCTGAGTCAAGGGCTCGGTATGCAAAGCGATTTTGTGGAAAGTCCCAGTTTTCAACTCACATTAGGAAAACAGCCCGTGGGGGAAAGTGGGGGACAGCAAAGGTCTTTTTCACTCATTGTGGAGCTTAATAATGTTATATTCCCCCCCCCCAAGAGAGAATCAAAATGGTTTCAACGCTCATCCTCAGCCTGGTTGGCCAAGGGGAATTTAGCATTTATAAAACTATAAATCCAAAGGAACTAGAGAAATGGGGCAACAGTTCTAAAACTGTGAGTGACATTACCACCACTGTGTTAATGGACTGCGTGTACTTTATCTCAGAGAAGTGAATGGGGGGGAGTGAGGTGGTGGCAGAGGGTTGCTTCCAACACAATGCTAAGTTAAAGTCATTTAGCGTTATTCCTGTTCCCCTGGAGAAATGTTTTCGCTGACAGTGTTGTTGCACCAGAGAATGCAAAAGCAGGTTGCTGGTAGCATTGGCACCATTTGCCCTATACATTTAGAGCAGGATTGTACCATTCTAAACAGCCAACCAAAGGACAGCAAGGAGGGAGCCAACTTAACCTCTTTAGAAAAGTCATTCCAAAGTCTGGGAGCAGCCACCAAGAAGGCCCTCACTTTCAGGTCTGAGAAGCAAGTAAGGAGGCAGCCCGGAGGGACAACCAAAGGACTCCCCAGATTCAGTGAAAATCCACCCAGACACCATTTCGCTACCCGATTCCTGGACGTGTCAACCCTAATATTAGATCTTCAAGATGCCAAGTTTTAAGAACGTGGCATATTTTTAAATACTGCAGAAGTAAATAGCATCTATGGATGTGAGCAAAAGGGGCTGGCCATGAATGTTTCTCCATTCTAGCCCTTTTAACTTATTAACAGCACATGTCTGCTCTGTAACCTAACAGCATGACTGCATTAGTCATTCATCCCCTTTGAGTGCAGAAGACCGATTGGTCCGCTCCAGAAAGACAACCTTCAACGTAGTCATAATCACAGCACAGTTCTTTGTTTCCTATCCACCACTTTGGACATTCCCTCCCTCCCTCCCTCCCTCCCTCTTTTTTATTATTATTAAAAAAAGCACATCATAGCAAAATCCACCTCATAGCTTACCTGTGCTTAATGGATTCTTTTGATAAAGTGGGAGATGGGAAATTATCTTTCAGAGTGTGTAAATCCATTAATTTGCAGAGAACGGGTTTCAAAGAGCTTCGGAGATGTTTGTTTAGTGTTCTTTGAATATGGCAGGATGTTGAGAAGAGGAATAAAAGGGGCCCTTTTTGTTTTAATTTCTTTTTTGAATGACTACGACAGAAGTCATTTCCAAGTGGATTTGCTGTTCGGTGTCGTTTTCAACAACAACAACAAAAGCTCACAAGGCAACTTAGTGCCGTCTATGCCCTCCTGATAAATGAAGGGTGTCCATCTCTTGCTTTGAGCTCCAAGCGTGGCAAAAAGAGAGAGAGAGGAAAGTGGCTGTTGGATTCCACCTGGCAAGTGCAAAAAAAAAAAGGGGGGGGGGATTGTGAGATGGAGGATCTGATTGACACTATCCCGAGAGACAATCATACAAGCATCTAGAGTGAAAATGCTTAATGCTTTTGTTATGACATCCTTGTTGTGTATTTTGGAGATGTGTCAAAAACTTCCAAAGCACAGAGCCAGAGACTAATCGCCTTGCAGCAAGAAAATTGCCCAAGGGAAGTTTATCAGGGTTTGAGGGTGGGATTCTGCCTACAGGGAAAAGGGACTAAAAGAGGTGATTGGGTATCTAGGGAGATCCAGGCAGGTGAAGGTGACTTGGTTCACCTGACCAAGACACCCTGTGAGAGCATTCTAAGTGGTCCTGTCAGCTGTTTCCCCTGAGAAGAGCTCCTGCGTCCTTATAGCATCTACATGCCAACACATTTTAGGGTGATATTGATTTCAGGATGGTGAAAACTGAAATGAACTGTGCAGATTTCCTTTTTTAAAGAATTAGGATGACTAACTGGGAGACATGGAAAGGGTTTATAAAATTGTGCATGGATCAGGGAAAGTAGACTGAGAGGGGTTCACACACACACACACACACACACACACACACACACACTGCACCTGAAGATGCTTGGCAGCAGCTTCAGGATAACAAAAGAGAAGGCTCCTTGAGCAGACTTAATTAACCTATGGAACTCACTGTCACAAGATGTGTTGATTAGGGATGACTGAGAAATTTTATTTCAGTGGATTTTATGGAATTGATCTGATGCGCCCCTACCCCTTGGGTTGGAACATAATTATCCTTTAGATTTTGCACTACTCCAAATTTGGCATTTCAGCACTTCTTCAAAACATGTACCAAAATGCATTTAAGGTGAATAATTAAAAAAAAAAGCATTTAGAAATGCATACGCTGAGATAAGATATTTTAAAAATACATATTTCAAAATGGATTTTCAAGCAGAGGTCAAGGACATGTTCCAGCCAGAAGAATGTAAATGAGGAAGGATATTATGGTGAGGGGTGTAGCTTATGGAGGGGTGTGGCTGAGGAGGGGGTGTGGATTGGGGACAGTCTCGAGGGCCACATAGAGAGGCCTAGAGGG